GTTTCCAGTTTAATAAAATACCAGTTCAATAAGCTATGATTCAACGTTAAGTTTCCGAACCAATTCTTTAAGCGAGAGGAAAAAAGCAATGATCTTTTTTAACAATCTTTGGCGGAAAAATGCAAGCACGATGCCGCGCAACGCCCAGTTATTCAGAAATAGAAGATACAGGACGCAAACAAAGGAAGCGTTGTCTTTACCTAAACTGGAGGAAACAGATACAACTGGACTACATTAACTTACCATCTGAAATGCAAAGAAGAAAGGCAAGACCCGAATAGGCTCTTCATTTTGTAAGCGGCACTACAGTTTTCCACTGCTCCTAAAATTTCATTTGCTGTGGGAGCTGAATATTATAACTGTGAGTCTCTTAATGCGCGTATTAGAACTACAAAGGATGCCACCCACGATCCTTCTGAAGTAGCTTATTATTTGAGATACGCGATGTTCTACGTCACCTAGCAATGCACATCGAATTCCTTGCGTGTCGTTCACACATTCACCTAGCCACCAAAATTTCACGACTCTCTGCTTCAATTCTTTTCCTCAGTTCCTCCCACAGGTCGAAGAATACTTTTATGCCAAGATCCAAATCCAACAAAATATAAATTTTAACTCTAAAATGTTTTGCATCATCAATCGAACTACTTTTGCTTCACGGAGTAAATTTTTTAAAGTAGAAACTACCTTGCATTACCAAGGTGAAGGGGTTCGTTGTTAAGTATTTGTTCAAAACTAGAAGGTTTTTTAAGGACTGCTGGCTACCCAGACAATATACGTGATTAAGATTTTTAATGATTGAATATCTTTGATACAGCCTATCGTGATCGCGGGTCTTTTTAAGAACGAGGAGTAGATGTATATGCCAGGATTGAAATATAATATTAACCAGACCTATTTCCAGACTAATGAAATAGCAGCATACTAGGGTGTGATTTAATATTAAGTTTCGTGCCAAATCATTAGGCGATGGGGAAAAAAACGATGATGTTTGTTCAATTGGTTCGGAAACTGTAAGCAAGATGGCTCGCCACACCCATTTATTCAGAGAAAGAAGATAAAGAACGCACACAGAAAATCGTTATCCTTGTCTAGCCAGGAAGAAACAGATACAACTGAAATAAATTAACTTACCGACTGAAATGCAAACAAGAAAGGCGAGACCGAACAGGATCTTCATGTTATAAGCGGCAGTACAACTTTCCACTACTGCTAAAAGGACACCTCAATTGGACGATGAATATTATAGATTATAACA